GTGTGAGGGGTTGTGTTGCCCATTTATACTAGATTTTATTTTTTGTAAAAAAAATTGTTTTTATTCTAGATTTCAAGTTTGGTTTTAGGCATTTTATTGTTTTTTTTTATTCCTTGTTATTACTTTGTTCTTTATTACCTGCTTTTATTTTTTCTGTGCTTTTTAATTCTTATTTTAATTGTGATTGAGTTTGTTTTTGTATGAGCTGTGCTGGAATGTTGATTCTGTACAGCACTTTGGTCTACTATGGTGCAAAAAGTGTTTTACAAATAAAGTTGGATTGGATACTTTCAGCTGTGAATGGCTCCAATAAGCATTTATTGACAGATGACTAATCGCATCAAACTGAGGATTAAAAAAAGGTGATTTGTGGAGAAATAGGCAGAAATAGTGCATTAACTGCATTATGTCAAAATATTACARATAAATGCCTTATCTATGGGTCATTTAAAATAAATAACTGAAATATAATCTTAAAATAATTTTTTGAAGCCCTATCTTGAGCACTAGCCACAAAAAACATGACTTTGAACAGAAAAACCTTAAAGTTTGTCATTATCCCCATGAGCTAGCAAAGCTGTTTTTCTTTCTAACTAAGTGTGTTTTGTTGTTTTCTTCGGGGGAGGGGTGCTCTGTGGGGCAGGAGCTTGGCTGCAGACTGAGCTCCAGGGTGGAGCTTTGTACCAGCAAGTGTTTATGCAGCTCCACATGGCCACAGGAGATTCAAGGAACACTCTGGGTATATTTTTAATAAAGACATAACAATATAACATGATATACAACTCAAAAACGTCAATTCCAAATATTGCTTGATGTTTCCTCTTTAAAATGACGTCAAAAATTCCTCATTAGAACAACTTATTTGACCAAATTTGACTTAATCCTCAGTTTGATGATGAGTCACCCACCTCTGGCTTTTCGAAGGGGTCAGAGAAGCAGCCTTGGTTCCTGCCCCACATCTGGGTTGCCAGTTCTGGATACTGCAGGTCAGTGCAAAGAGCCACCTGCTGGGGGCTGTCACAGACGTAGACTGGAGGCCAGTAACGAGAGGAGAGCAGCAGATCAACATGGTCCCGAGCCGTCTCTCCTCTCACTAAATACTTGGAGGAACACACCACCTGGAGACAGGTATACAGGAGAAGAGAGAATCAAACACACAGAAGACATCTGGATTTCAGTTCTGATAACCAGCATTCTGCAGTGACTGGTGCTCTGAACACATTTATAACACATAAACTCAAAGTAAAAGTTACTGAGCAGGCTGCTGTGTTCACCTGGTGGGGACAGACTTTGGACAGCTTGCCAGCAGTGAGGTTTGCTGGGGGGTGTGGGGCTGTCGAGAGACCACTACGGACATGAGTGTAGAAGTCGATCAGAGAAGCCAGCAGCTCATTCTAACAGGAGACACAGAGAAAGATTTCAAACATAGTAACTTAAAATTTAAAAAAACAGAACAAGAAAAGAGAAAATGAGCAATAATTTGTAGTCATAGCTGAGAAAATCAATTTTTTAAATCGACGCTAACATGCAGAGCAGCCCATTGATTATAAAACTGTTGTGGCCAAAGGTTTTGAGAATGGCACYAATTTTGATTTTTACAAGTTTACTGTCTCAGTTTTTATGGTGGAAATTTGAATTAATTCTAGGCTGAGCAGTGTAATTAGATAAATTACAATAAATTGCAGTCATTCACTGCCATGAAAATGACTTTATTACAAAAATTAKTGCAATCCGTTCTCAAAGCTTTTGGCCACAACTGTACTCTTTGGGAAAACTTGCTTTGAACTCAATGCTGTTATATTAAATATTTATACTTATGTATATTTTTTTAATAATACTAACATTTCATCACGATTATATATTAAATTTCTCACTAACTTCAGCTGTCATATTAAAGTATTGGTTGTTTTCTGCTGACTTTTGAAAGCGCCACACATTTTATAGCCTTTTCTTAGGTGAATAATGATGTATTTTATGAACTGTTGTGTGACTATTTGTGATTAATTGATTATTTTGTATACAGACTGGTCTGGGTAGCTATAGATAATGGTTACACAGGGCAGGAGGTACTAATAGATAAGATACATGCCTGAACACACCTTCAACACTTAATTGAACTATTGGTTTATCATTAGAACAGGAAAAAGTMTATGAGAACCTGACTTTCAGCCGTAGGCTGGCCATTTATGATGACACAATAAAAATAGGCGGAGTCAGGTCCTGAGGATGGTGTTATAATGAAGAGACTTCCTGAACTGAGGGGCTGAACGCAGAACTGAGAATAAAATGCCTTTAGACCGAGTGCTCTGTGTGGTGTTGTATGAACTCTTTTCACATTGTTGTTGTTGTTTATTTATTTAAGAAGGGACAGTGCATATTACAGAAAATGCCAGAATTAGCCATGGAGGCTAGTTTTCATCTGTAGTTCTCTAGTTTACATTCAAACATTATATTGATGTATTTTCTATCTGGTACAAACACGTAATAAGGTAAACAAACACGTTAATCTTTTTCTTTCAAATGAATGAATGATACTTTCCTGATCCCATGGGATCAAGGGAAAGGGAAGGGAAATTACAGAAGCTAAAATGTTGAGATCGTCTRGTATAATTGCACACTTCCTTTCACCCCTCGCACACATAAATACACACCTTGGTAGAGCCTTCAGTGATGCTTATGCCACAGCGGTTGAGTAGTTTTCTCAGCTCTTCCTCAGTCAGCTCTTCAGTTCTGTCTAATATCAGCTGGTTGTCATGAATCAGACGAACCAAAACTGACGGATCTCCTGAAACACACAATAAAATTATTTTTTTAATGGTGCCACAGAAACTACAAACCACTTTATTTAGGTGTATTAACTGTTATGTGTATTATTAACTCATAAGGAATAAAAAATAAAAAAAAATATTACCTGTGTACATATTTTAAAGGTTTCTAAACTTGCATCAGTCGGGTTTGAATCAGACAAAGACGAGATGAAGTTTAAAGTGTTTTCTAAGATTCCTGTACCTGATGGTTGTTGGATGTGTGGCAGAACCTTGTCCTTCTCTGTYTTCAGAACTGTGGGACTCCTCATCAAAGGAGGTGCAAAAGGAGCGATGATGGAAGCGTCGACTCGTGTTATGGGGATGTCTGTGGGGAAAACCGCCTGCTCGATAGCTTCGCTTTCCATAGTCAGCCAGAAGTCATCGACATGTACCTCATCTGAGTCTGAGCACTCGGGCCAGGTAAACTGCAGAGACACATCAGTCGGTCTCAAATCTGCTAAACAATCACTTGAAGGTCAGTTTTTACACAACTTTAATGTTCTCAACATTTTGTCACCTCCACATTCTTCAGCTCCAGGACGTTGTTCGTGTACCTCAGTGCGATCTCGAGTTTCGGAGCAATGCCACAGATGCCGCAGATCATATCGTTATAATCTCGTACTGTCAGACACTCAAAGGCCCAGTAGCCACTCAGGAGAAGCTCCTGGATCTGACTTGACTCTTCAGGACTTAAAGTATGGATCGGATGACTCGGGATGTGATCAAAAACAGAGGCCACAGCTTGAGAGGGGGATTGGCCCAGTTTGATGTTGGCCCTGATCTTCAAGAACAAGTCGATGCTGACCAGCAATCTGTTCCCAATGTTGAACAAACCTGAAGGAACAACAATTACACCAATTCAATTTACTGACCTTAATGTTAGAACTTTTTTATCCTACCAGACCAAGACGCAAAATTAATCATGAAACTTTCAACCTTTTTAACTATCCATCGCAACATTTTTTAAATAATAGAATGAGGGTGTATTCACACCTGACACATTTGGTCCGCTTTAAACGGACCAGAGTTCGTTCCCCTCGTTGGTCRGGACCTTTTATGCAGGTGTGAATATACTCATGTGAACCCTGGTGTGGATCAAATCACTGGACCGAGACCCGTTTTTGGGGTGGTCTCCGTCTGCTTCCAAACAAACTCTGGTGCAGTTTGCTTCTGGTGTGAATACAGACCAGCTTTGAACCAAACCAACTACAGGAAATGTGCCTTTTCGGACTTCAAAAAGGCACCGTAGCTAAGCAACATTAGCCCTTCAGTGTTGCTAATACTAATGCTACGCTACAAACAATGAGCCGTTGTGGATCAGAGAACGCAGAGCATCTCGTCTCCTTTAGGTTGTGGTACGCATTTGACAACTCTGCCCCAAAATTATAAGTATATCATCGCAAAACCGCCACTGAATGAGCTTTTGATATTTTGGCATTTGGATATTCTTAATGGTCAGTTGTATCAACATCATCTTTATTTTCCAGTCTGTGCTCTGTCCTGCCCCCAGCATTTCTGTCCAACGAGTGCAATAACCTTCACCTATGTGGCTTTGTTTATAAATTGAAATCCACTTGCAAAAAGCACAATGTGAATGCAAACCACACCAAAGGAAAAAAAAATAAAGTCCGCTATTTGGTCTGGACCAAACAAGCAGACCAAAGGATTTTCCTGGTGTGAATAAACCCTAAAATACCTCTGAGTACCTCCACTTAAATAATGCAAAATCAGTTTAAAACTAAAGAACCAAGTGAACTTTTATTCTGAAGCTGAAGACGTTTTGCTTCTCATGAAGCTTAAAATGCCACAGAACTCCAGACAATTTGAACTGAGAAAGAAAAACATCTTCAGCTTCAAAATAAAAGTCCAGTTGTTGTTGTTTTTTTTAAACTTTTTTCGTGACCTGAATCCACTTCACTTAAATAAGTGATTAGATGACAGGTGACTGGATAATATTAAATGGGATCGATTGTATTTTAATATAATCTTCTTGGGCAAATAAAAAAACAAAATAAAGTCAAACAAGAACAAATACTTTACCTTGAGAATATTTGTGGCAAATTTGAAAAAAATGTGTTAATTTAAATCTGTAATATTTGATTCACAAAAATGGGACAAATAAAGATGTTTGTGTGGATAAACAGGAAGTCCAAAAATATAACGCTTAGACGCATCTGCTGTCTAAAGAGAAACTTCCTCATTAGGATAAGCTTGTGGCCGAGGATTGCATAAACATATGAGGAAGAAAATTGCGTTTATTTGTTTTTACCATAAATAAAAAGCAAGAATTAAAGCTTTAATTAAAATCAACTTTATGGTTTTTAAAAGGCCCAGCATTAATTTTGCACCAAAATGTGTCTTAGCAAAATATTTACCTTTCAGACTAAAGATTTTTATCTTAACAGCGTGATAAACCAGGTTAATGATGTTGCAGGTGTTTATAAATAAATCTAAATAATGAAAATAATGAAATTCTATTTATTAAATGCAGCAACCGTGTCCAATCCTGGTCCTTGTGGACCACTGTCCTGCATGTCTTAGAGGTGGCTCTGCTCCAACACCCCTGATTTGAGTGAATGAGTGATTAACACACTTCTTCTGCAGAACTTGAAGAGGTAATTCAACCACTGAATCAAATGTGTTGGAGGATCATGATGTCTGATATATATACAATGTAATTTATTGCTTTAGCGCCCTCTTTTGGTTAATCAGAAAAACATTAAAAGCAGCTAAGAAAATGTGGAAGWGGTCCTCACTAAACAGCACAGAATTATTATTATTAAAACAAAGACTATCTGCTTGAATTACGCTAGTTGCCTTGTTTAAGTGTTTCCGTTTACCTGGATGCAGGTCAGTGAAGCTGTGCAGAGCCAAACACTGAACATTGAGACACACTTTGAGTTGAAGCGTCGCCGTCTGCATCAGAGTCTCAGTGAGCAGCCAGCAGGCCTCCTGTCCTGCAACAGAACTGAACACACAAACATGACGAGTCAGACACAAAACGCAAATGAGTAATGTACATTACGCCAAAATGAGCTGAAAAGTCCACCGTTAAGACTCGACAAGTCTTCTCACCTCTGCTCCCCTTTGAACAGAGGGTAGTTACACAGGCCGCAGTGAGTAGCTGCTGACTCGTAGCAGCGAGGCCACCCCGACTCCACCAGCGTCTCCGTCTCTCCGCCGTGCTCTTCCTCCTGCTCGCTCGTTTGGACGTAGATGATTCTGAGGCTGTTGAGCTCCTGGATGAGGCTCAGCGTTTCCTGCATCTCCGCCTCACTCTCGGGTATCTGCAGGGAAATGCGAAGTAGCTGCACGGTGCTTTGGCGCTGGATCTCCCTCTGAGCCAGACTCATGTCTTGATTTGGATCCAGCAGAGTCTCAGACTGAGAGAGASGAAAATAAAGCCAAACAAGAACAGCTTTATGCATAGAAATCAATGATTTATTATTGTTTGTTTGCATTTAAATATAGAAAAAGCAATTTATATTTWGAGCTCAAATAAAGGAATATGGTTTCTCTTACTTTTGTAGCTTTGGTATTCTTTTGGGTCAGCTCGTTGCCACACTTTGGACACACTGCTGGTTTGTGTCTGTTCTTATAAACATAGTCACAAGTCGGGTTCTTGCAGCGACCTCTGCCTCGTCCAGTGGACAGTCCCAAATCCTAATACGAGACATAAATTCAAATTGTGCCATAAAAACAAGTGATATGCAGAAACTAAAATGATATTTTAGGACAGATGTATTGTTTGTATACTGACAAAACTGGAAGCTGCTTGTTGCTTGAAAGGTATGACTGACACGGCATTGACTCCATCTGTGGCTGAAGACACGTGCCGGCCTGGAGAGTCCTACAGAGACATTCAGCAAGTAAATGATTGGACTTAATCACTGATTGGTGTCTGTTTTTTTTAATCATTTGTGAGCATGTGTTAACCTGGCCGGCTGTGGTTGTGGGGACCTTCTGACCAAGCTGCTTTAAAGTGCTGGGTTTGAGACCAGAGAAACTTTCTCGAGCCGCTGCAGGAAAACAATCTCATCAGGCTGAGCAAAGACTTCAGAATGTGCATTTAGACATAGTGGCTGTGTCTCAGTCCAGGGGTTGCAGCACACAGTTTGTCGGCTGCTTACATCACTGTGCCACACTGAGGGCGTCTACTCATGTGGCCGAAAAAACGTCAAAAACGTAGTCTGCATCCTACACAACCGACGATATCCCAGGATTCAAACAGAAAAACGAACAGAGCAGAGATTGCTTTTTTATGGCAGAGTTTGCCGAAGAATTTGTTTATAAATGTAAGTTTAGCAACATAGCTGATGAAATTTATGCTGAAATGAGTTGTGAAATAAAATGCAATTACAAGCACTGATACTGGAGCTAAACCCAAATTATTAATGTTTATTCATTTACATAAAACATTCTTTTAAAGGGCCAGTATTATGGGTTTCTCAGGCATCTAGTTCAATTCTATACCAAAATAAAGTAACTAAGTCACCTTCAGTTATGAAAATGCTGTCAATTTGTATAAATCCAAAATTAATTTGACTTCACACCATAGCCATTTCTATTTTTTTTTTATTAAGCTCTGTCTCTTTAAGAACCTCCAACTGATTCTGTCATTACCATTTCTGCACTTCATCACAACAAAACTTCATGGTGTTTACAACCGGTCTTAGGAGTGTTGTATTTTGTTGTAACAATAATAAAAAATAGCTGCAACATTATACAATATCTGTTTTGGGAAATAGCAACTCAAGATGCAGTTAAACCTTACTTGAATGATACCATGTCGGTCCCAGAAAGTATGCTTTCAGAAGAACTGGAGCGAGTACAGAGGCAACATTTGGTAAAATATCTATCTCCCAGTCATGCTCACTAACACACCTGTCAATGTTAAGCTCATTTATTTATTATTAAAATGTGGTGTAAGCCAACTAAAGAACACAGATCATAATATAAGTTATGAATGCTAACTGTAGAACACAGATCGACCAAACAACCGAACAAAACAATGTGTTATTTTCAGCTTACCTGGGCAGATGACAATGGTGTTTGCGTACTTCTAATTATTGGAATTGCATCGTCTTTTAGTGATAATCTTGTTATTAGTCCACTGTTAAATCAGGGTATCTGCAGGTTTTAGCAAGTCAAATTAAAGACTTTTTAAGACCTTTTTAATACCACCCTTGAATGAAATTTAAGACCGAAAATATAAGTGATGGTTCTGCACAGACGGCCGGGGCTGACYGAGAACTTTAATCGCTTCTGCCCAACAAAATTTAAGATCTTTGAGTAACAAATTTAAGACCAACTTGCACATTTTTAGCAAATGTAAGACTTTTTAAAGGTCTTAATTTTAGATATGTAAATTTAAAACTTTTAAAGACTTTTTAAGGACCCGTGGACACCCTGTAAATTCTCTTTTGATGAGAAAGCCATCTTCCGTAAGGTGGCTCGCACAAATGTAACTTTTTTTTTCCCATTGGAGGATAACAAAATTGGAGTCCAACCATTTTTGTAAGAACCGTTTCATCCATTGGAAACTTAAAAAGAGGGTGGTCTCATTGCCATCTGAAAATACATTTCCTCAAAGGCATATTTTAATCAAAAAGGACTGGACTGAGAAATAGGATTACGAGCTCAGCAGACGTGCGGTTTCACCTGTTGTTTGCTAGTTGTTGCGGCTGATTACCTGCAGGAGTCGCAGGGAGGCGTGCTCTGTGATGAGGAAGCTCAGCTTGGAGACACAGCCCAGAGAAGCTTCACCTAAAAGGCAGTTCTAGGCCCAACCAGCAGTTTTTGTTCTCCTGAATGACTGCTACAGGACATAACAGGATTTCACAAACATGCATGAATGAGTCAAAGCAAGACTCTGTGTATGTTTTTGATGAGAGAATGAACATTATATATGATATAAAGCTCAAAAAAGTTGATTTCACATGATATTGCCCCTTTTATACTGAATTTTGTGAACTTAAACCATGAAAATACAAATGATTGTCACACAAACATTTGTCATCTGTACAACAGACCGTCTCATTTCACTGCTGTTTATGCAGCTGACACTGGCGGCCTACGGCCCACATGGGCTGCAACCCCTGATTTGAGACACAGTTAATATTCCTCACAGGCCAAGAAAACCCACCTATAACAGAACATGACTAGTACAAAAGTCACATCAAAAAGTGAATGATTCATTTGGTACAATAGGGGAAATAAAATGAAATGCACAATACCAGCAGAAGTCTTAACATTGTTGATGCCTTGAAGTTTTTCTTTGTCTGGTGGAACTGTTATGATCTGGAAAAAAGCACCACCTAAAAGAAAGACCACCAGGAATTATACTGGCACCCAAAGAAACGGCTTGTTTCGATATTAGCAACGATCGTTTTGTGTGAGCTGAATGTTTAATTATACCTGTACTGTGTAGGGCAGGAAGGATGGGTCTAACAGGCCTCTTCTGCAGAACAGCTGTGCTCCTGATCCTGCTCTGACTGTGAGTCACGGCACGTTTAGGTTTATCTTTCACTTGTCTGATTAATGACACAGAAAAAAATGAGTTGATGATTTCTCAATTTCCAAAAAGTCTTATGATTTTATATGCTGTCTTTAAAAATATATAAAATTGTGAACCTAAGCTTACTTTGTGTGACGATGCGTCGTGCTGCTGCCCACTAGTGGCGTTCCAGCTGCATGCAGCTTCTTAACGCTCCACTGCACTCTCCCGTCCCGTTTGATCCCACCCGTGTTTGCTTTACGAACATCAGCGTTTGTCTTCTGAGCAGGCGAGGCTGTGATCTGAGGGGCTTCAGCGCGCTCAGCGCCAGCATCCCGTGGCAGCGGCTTGGAGGCCGTCACTTTTCCATGAGCCTTCTGTGCCTGACGCAACGGATAAACACAACTAAATGGAGCCGTGCATAGGACTGTCTGTCAGTCCAGGGATTATTTGACACTTACAGATGGGTTCCATTTTCCACCCAGGTTTTTCCCACATTCAGGACATGTAGATGGTTTGTGACGGGTGACATACATGAATGAACAACCAGGACTTAGACACCTCCCTCGACCTCTCCTTGTATACGTCTTCAAAGACTGCAAATTAAAAAAGGAAAGAAAAAAATACCTTTGTTTATTTCTTCTAGTCTAGATTTTCTATGCTGCTCTGTCAACAGCCCAAACAGCTGTAAAATGACAATGCGTTTATTTAACAATTGTGTTTTCTGTGTTGTCCTTGTAAAAAAAAATTAATTAAACCAAACTGTTGATTTTAAAATTGTATTTCAGCAAAACAAGTTAAATAGATGTTTACCATTTTATATGTCGGTTTGGCAGTTTCTGATTTGATTCCTACAGAGATCATCATCATTGGGTGCAAAGATCCAACTCCTGCTACAGACTGAGGCTTCAGGAAGTTCTGGATTAAGGGAGAAATGATTAAAAGACTGTTTAGGAATTAAACTGGTGAGCTACAATCATTAAATAGCCAATTTAATAAATAAGAATCATTGTTTTCTCTGGTGAAAGGCTGCAGACTGGGAAGTTTTACCGCTGTGGGTAGGATGGTTACCACCTGCGTAGCTTCCCCTTGCATCTGCGGCACCACAGTCCTGTTGGAACTCTTGGGAAGTTTTGCCTCGTTTTGTTTCAGCGTCATACCGTTCCCAGTGAAGTCAGCAGAGACCTGTGAGACGTTTGCAGAGGTCATGTTGTTGGATAAGGAAGGGGCTGAAATCGTGTTTCACTGTGGTATAGTGCTGGGCGGTATTCAGTGGTGGGCACCAGTCCGCTAAAGCACAAATCCGCTAATTGTGGACCTAAGTATTTCATTAGCGCTTTAGCGGTCTTGCTAATTTTTTTAATTCATAAGCGGATTTGCACTTTCTAGAATTAAAATGCAGTACCGCTAATAACTAATTATCTACCAGTCATCATTATCTTGAACAGCGGAAGGTATGGCTGTCAATGAATCACGACACGTGATCTGTCCAACAGCACCCTCCAGATAAGCACACTTATTGAGAAGGTATACATCTTTGCTGACTGTTGCTTTGGGTCAGGGTTCTCATTTCCCACAATGCTTTGTGTCTGCTTATGTAGCAGGAAGGCYATGTTTAGAACTCCCTTTCCCAGCAAAAACAGTTAACGTTTGTAATCCATACTAAAATTTTGTATGTATTGATTTATTTTACTTTACAATCGAAGCTCCTTTTTAAAAATAAAAAATAAAGTTTAAACGCTGCAGCTCAATACTTGACGTAATTGGTCGAAGCAACGAGGTTAGACAGACATCTAGTGGTCAACTGGAACAACTACATGGAAAACTTTCGTTTCCAGTCACAAATTAAATCCGTCATGTACCCAGAATGCATTGCTTCAGTTTTCCAATAAACAGTTTTAAAATCACTTTATTGATGCTTCTTTAATGAAAAATCTACAACAAACAAAAGAAAAAGACAAAGAAGCAGCCGAACTAGCAATCCTCAACAACTTTTTAATTTTTACACCAGGAGCCAAAGGTCTGTTTCAGGACATCACATCCCCATCAAACGGCGCTTGTAGGATTAAGCTGTACAAGTGTTCATAACCCACTAGTTGACAGTGTTGTATATATGTTGTACATGAGTTGTTGTCAGCTAGTAAGTGTTAAAATTGAACTTGTGCTTTAAAATTAGCTTCTGCTAATATTTCTATGGCATAAGCGTTTTTGAAGTTGCGGACRTAAATATTTTCATAAGCACTTTATAAATTGCGGAGCTAATTTTTGGCTTAGCGCTGCCCACCACTGACAGTATTTTAAACAAGTATACTGGTGTCACTGTATTTTCTTTTCATTACAACTCAGTTTAGAATAAAATATACAAACACAGCTTATTGATTGGCAAACCACCGTCAGCTGAAGTTACTTTCTTTCTGCAACACAGAAATTATTCRTTGACTTTTTCTTGTACTGTACCTCTGTCTATCACTGTTTCCCTCTACATGTCTTTTCTTATTTACCTGGTTGTAGACAGTAGTCGTGCATTTTGGTAAGGCTTTGAAGGAGGAGGATTGAGCAAAAACCATTATCGTTTTATGTTATTAAACATTATTGTTTTATGTTATTAAAGCATAATGGGACGACTCAGCCTCTGTGCACTCGTCAACAAAACACCAGCACAAAACTACTTCCCCCGGGCTTTTCACAATAGAAGCACATRATCGTCTCCATGTTAACGTTGCGCAATAAATCTATCTGTGCACGTCACTGAAGAGTTGTTTACTCATCAGCGATGGTGAAAACAGGAGAGTGTTTATTTTTATGTAAGTCAATATGTCAGTATTCAGAAAATTCCTATCATTACAAAATAAAAAGTGGTTTTCGGTARGAACCGGTGCTCTGAAAGCTGCACCTCAGCAGCCAACCCAGCCGACGTGAGATAAGACACTTTGGCAAGGAAGACTGAATGCAGGCCTCCTTCACCTGAAAAGTCCAGAGATCCTATAATGCTCACCTCTGGCTGATGACTCGACACACTGCCTTTAGGCAAGAGAACGCAGTTGGCTCTGGGCAGGATTTTGCGGAAGCCTGGCAGCTGTTTGGAGGGACTGAGAGACGACTAGGAGAAACAGAGTGAGGAACAAATGTTTATAGTTTCCCGCTAGACAACGATCAATAAAACAAGTAATGTAAAGTTCTTATGTCTCTGCTGTGAGCCAATCCATTGTCGAGACATCCATTTAAATATTAGCTAAATGATATATTATAACTTAAAATGACATTCACTGATTTGCCAACATGAGTAATCAGAAATGCATCAATATAAAGCAGCCAGACTCTGCTGCAGAAAATGACCCTGATTTATTACCTCAGTAAAGAAAATGACATCAGTTCCTACTTTCAATTATCATCAKACAACCTTGCGCACACATGTAAATATTAATAGTTAAATGTAAAATCATCCAGCAGAATAAGTTCAAGAATGGGGCAATTAAAACCAGGTATAAAAATAAATTTACCTGCCAAAATACTTGAAGATATTTGCAATTTTAACAACAAATAACYACATGCTGTAAAATGACTTTAGCCTGCTATGTTTTTACATTACTGGAGGCTCAGTCAGCATCATAATAYAAAAATAATTGCTGGAAAATGTTGATTTGGAAATGTTGTATAATACATTCAACACAACACATTCAACAGGACTTCACAACTGATCAGATCAACTTTGTCAACTTATAAAAATAAACGGTGGTTGGTTTGGGGGGATATTGGCAATAAAACTAATCACAATTAATTGTGGC